TGTCTAAGGGCAGGTGATAAGAGTAGGTTTAGACAGTGTGAGGGTAGGCTAGCATGCTGTAACAACACATGTACTCTTAAATATGTAATGACTCCGACACAGTAGAAGTTCATATCTCACTCACATCACAGAGCAAGGTGGGGATTTGTCATCAGCTGACAGCTCTCCTACATGTGGAGATTTGGGGACCAGGACTCCTTCCATGTATGGATCTACCGCTCCCAGGATGTCTGCATCCAGCCAGTGGATGAAGGAAGAAAGAGCAGAGAAAGTGCACCTGTTTTTGAAAAGCCTTTGCCTATAAGTTTTTTGTACATATTCTGTTTGGAAGAGCTAGTTACATGGTCCCAGCTAGATGCCAGGGTAGGTGAGAAAGACGATCCTCAGCTAGACAGCCCCCTTCTAGTTACAACTGTGTACTACAGAAGAGAAGCATACTTTCTGAGTAGCTGGATCTCCGCCATAGGTGGGCAGGCCAGGAGGCGTGTAGACTGTCACTGTCGTATTGACCTTGTTTCTGGGGTGTAGGAATAAGACTGCAGATTCAGGAGCGGGGACTGATGAGGCTACACTCCGGTCTTGGCCTCAGCAAAACAAAGGCACATGCACCATATGTACGTAGACAGAAAGACAAAAAATCTAAGAAGATACTTTAACATCAGTATGGATGTGAATTCTTTGTCATTTCCAAAAGTTTATTTTATGAAATATATTTTTTAAAATTTATTTTATTGTTGAGAGTATTATAGATGTATGATATAGTATTTTTTAATTTTGAATTTTACATTTGGTGGAGAGTAGGGAAGGAAGCTGTGACGGTTTATTTTTTGTGTCAGTTTGACTGGGCTAAGGGATGCCCACATAGCTGGTAAAACATTCTGTAAGAATGTTTTCGGAAGAGATTAGCATTTGAATCGGAAGACTGAGTAAAGATCACCTCGCCAGTGTCGGTGGGCATCATCTACTTCATTGAGGGCCGAGTAGGACAAGCAGGTGGAGGAAGGTGAATTTGTTCTCCTGCTTGAGCAGAGACATCCATCTCTTGCCCTCTGGCATTGACGCTCCTGGTTCCCAGGCCTTTATGCCACCAGCTTTCCTGGGTCTCCAGCTTGCAGACAGCAGATTGTGGGACTTCTTGGCCTCCATAATTGCGTGAGCCAATTCCTAGAATAAATCATCTCTTATATATGTCTATATATAATCCTATTGGTTCCGTTTCTCTGGAAAACCCTGACTAATTCAGAAGTGAAGAAATTATATAACACTTTGAATGCTTAAGATTCTGAAATTCTTCTAAAGTTCCCAAGTCTGTTCCTGATGGTTGGTTATCAAGAAAAACCCAGACTGTAACAATGAAGACAGGGGCCTGGTTTCTGGAGTGGGGGTAGGAGAGGGGGACCTTGGTCTCAGGAATAGGGCAGGAGCCTGGCCACCAGCAGCTAGAGCCTAGGGATTAACAGCAAATGGGCTAATGTGTCACCAAGCTAACGAGTACTGACCTGGAGTTGCCAGTGTGCTGAGAGGGGAGCAGCTGGTTTCACAGCCTGGGCTGGGCTGGTCTTTCTAACGGAGTAGTCAGGGACTTGGCTGAGAGTAGGAGATACGGAGCCAGGAGCTGGGCAGGGCCCCTGGTCCCAGCGGCATCCTTTTGATTGGCAGAAAGATGAGGAGCTAATGTGAGGGGCCAAGGAGGGAAGCGTGTTAAATACTTGAGGAGGACCAGTCTGGTTGTCAGTTATTGGAGATTTTTCTTGTTCTTTTTGGATATTTATTTTACCTTTATAGGGAAGAATCAGCCCAGAATTATTAAGGGCAATAAAGTACTGTGTCCTTTGTTGAAGGTCAACTTCTCTGTGCTTGCTGGCCTCTGCCATTCAACACTATAACTAGAGAGAGATGGTCAATGCAGCAGGAATGAGGAAGACGGATCTTAGGAAAAGAAGACTAAAAAAGGAAATTTCTCCTAGAGTAAGATCTTTCTAGGCAGGCCTAAGCCCGGGGGGGCGGGGGGGGGCATGGCCCCATTCCCTCGTGTTGTGGTGTGGCTACCCTCAACTTCGCACTGTGAGGAAGAAGTGGCTTCCAGCTGGTCAGCAGTGTGGTCACAGCACCCCAGAGTGGCTGGGAGGTCTGGCTGCCTCTGCTTTTTTCTAGCCTGAGTCTTTTAGGGAGGCCAGAGCTTCCCTCCCCGGGGGTAGCTGTGAAACCCCTAGGGATGTGCAGTCGCTCTGCTCAGCCCCTTTCCTGCGGGCCGCATGCGTCTGGCAGCTGTGCAGTGGGAACATGAGGGGCAGAGGCAGCTGCTGTGCAGTCTGAATCCTGCCACTCTAGGAAACTGCAGACACAATTCAGGGATGGCTGCCCAGACCCCAGCGTACTGTATCATCCCACATGTGTGCAGCATTGCTTAGGAACCATAGATCTAATCTCAAACTTGACAGTTGTACCACAGCCTATAAAATATTTACATTGTTCTTCGAAATATGTTATTTACTTTACGTTCTATAAAATATTCACATGAAAACATTTTTCTAAAGATACCATATTCTGAATATTATTTCTACACCACTGTATACTGGACAAAGGATTCTGGAGGCCTGGGTTCTGGTTCTGGCTTTTGACTACAAGGCTGTGTGATCTTGGACAAGTCAATTCACTTCTCTGATTTTCTCATTATAAAATAAAGGGAATATCCAAGACCCCTTTCAGCTACCACACTGTCTGGTTCATTTCCTCAGGCAGGTACAAGGTGGGCTTCCTTGGTCTGAAGCAGCCCCTGAGCACTGCCGGAGAGACCTGGTTAGTGCTTCATCATGGACACGAGCTCCCTACCAGATGGAAGAAGAGCAACCCAGGCAGACAGGAGCAGAGTCTGATGTCTAAATGGCAATGAGAAAAGGAAGTGAGGAATACAAACGGTCTAGAGGCAAGCGATGGTTAAGAAGATGGGCCTTGGAGAAGCTGAGCCCTGGGCATAATAAAATATTGGGTTGACGGTCATCACTACAAAAAGCAATTTGGGAAGGAGGAGTCAAGTTAAACATACATCGTTTCACCTTCGGTCACTTTCTGGAGTACCTAACGTCTGTATGTATGATTGTGGCCTGCAAGGGACTTGAAGCCACCAGACAGCACCGAGAAGTTTCCACAGGAATGGATGTCTCAAGTGTATGCGAAGTGTTCAGATTAAACTGGAACTATAACTTGGGGAAAAGGGTTATGCAAACTCTTGATAATAGTATTGAGATTCCAATTTTTCATTCATTCATCCATCCATCCATCCATCCATCCATCCATCCATCCATCCATCCACCCATCCATTCATTCCCATTGTGTCACGCAGTGAGAATGCTATAAGGAGCAATCTAGAAATTGTCCATTCTTCGTGCTCACATTTTACTGAAGGACACAGATGAAACAGAAGTTTCATCAGAAAATTTTCAACAGAGAAATAATCATTAAAAATTATGACAACTTTAATAAAGGCACAAAGAAAGAGCTAAGGTAGAAAGCAGTGGAAGTGTGTGTTGGAAAACTGTCTTTAGGTAAGGTTGTGGGAGATGGACTCTTGAAGACATGTCCTTCAGTGCAAAGACTAGAAGAAAGAAGGGTTACAGTGCGAGGAAAAGGTACTGCATTCACAGGGCCCAAATCAAGAAGGAGCTGGGTGTCTTTGGGCAACTAAGAAGATAGTGTGGTTAGAAATCACTGAGCAAGGAGAGAGCCTGGCCTGAGAGGAGGTGGGAGGGATGGGCAGAGACCAGACTACGCAGGGCTCAACAGCCCATTGTACAGAAACTCGATTTTGTTCCAGCTGCAATAGGAGGCCATTAGGAGTTTTAAGTGGGGGAATGGCATGATTCAATTTATGCTTAATGTCGATCTGATTTATCTTATCGTTTACTTTCCTGCAGTGTGGAGAATGAATTGAGTTGAGGGGGAACAAAAGTGGAAGTGGAGAGACCAATTGGGAGGTGGTAAGGTGGATCAGGTGAGAGATGATGGGTGGTGGCCTGGCCTGAAATAGTGGTGGTGGAGATGGACAGATTCATGACTCATTTTTCAGGTTGACTCTGTAGGACTTGCAGAGCGGCTGGAAGTTGAGAATGCAGAAACGTGGAGAATCGGGAATGACTCATGATTTTGGCTTCAGGTGCTACATATAGCAAGGCAGGTTTGGGGACCATAAATGAAGATTCCATTTTGAAATGTTAAATTTGAGATGTTTCTGATACATTCAAGTGAAAAACATTAAATAGGCAGTTGGATATGTAAATATGGGTCTCTGAGAAGCAAATGCTATAGTTATAAATTTGGCACTCATTAGACTATCCATGGGATTAAATGTTGGGATTGATGACATCACTTAGGGGGAGGGTATAGGCAGAAAAGAAAAGAAAGCAACAAAGGAGAGAAGGGAGGAAGGAAGGAAGGAAGGAAGGAAGGAAGGAAGGAAGGAAGGAAGGAAGGAAGGAAGGAAGGAAGGAAGGGGGGAGGGAAGGAGGAAACAAAGAAGGCAGGCAGGCAGGAAGGGTAGGACGGGCCCCAAGTAATTTCAGCCTGTAGAAATGAGAGAGGAGGTGAAGACAACAGTGAAGAAAAAGGAAAGAGCCATTGGGTAGGGAAAACCAGGACCGAGAGCGGTGTGACAGAAGCAGAGAAGAGAGCGTTCCAGCACAGAGGAAGTGGTCAACTTGGTCAAGGAACCAAATAAGATGAGAACAGAGAGGTGTCCATTGAATTTGGTCACCTGGATGGATATGGTTGGAAACCTGGCAAGAGCAGTGGAATCATTCCTTTGGTGTTTGAAAATGAAACGTTGGAATACATTGCTCTGCATAGATTTGCTTGTATTCACAAAGATTAGAAATTCAAGTGAATGACTTGAAAATTGATGATCCACTGTCATGATGACCTCAGCCTTGAAGCTGCTGGGACCTTAACAGAAGCCTGTGGATGAAAGTGGTTGGGACTGGAAGGCCTGGAATGGGCAGGGCAGTTGGTGCCTTTGTACATTGTAGTTTACATGGTACAGGTTGAACACACATGTTCTGACATATTTGTGAGTTGACTTTTTAAAAAGAAACAAAATTTACCTTGCAGTTCAAGCTCCTTTTTCAGTCACTTTGTGAGAGGCAATGTAAACTTATAGTCTCATAAAAGCCCAAAAATGTAAGTCACAGGTATCTCTCAAAAATGATACATGAAATGATTTAATCATCTCTGTTACTCCGTAGAGTAAGCAGGGATGTTACAGTGTTATTATCCCAGTTTTAGAGACCCGGAAAATCAGGTTGAAAGGCTGTGAAAACTGGGCAAGACCACATAGCCCACCGTGGCAGAGCCAGAAGTTTCCTAGCTCAGCACAAGTCCCAGGTTGGTTGGTGGTCTGCCCACTCCTCTACAGGAAAGAAGTCCCTGATTTGTGAGCCTCATGCCACGTTAGCTCCCAGAGCACTGGCCTCGAGAAAGGTAATTTTAAAGTATTTTTCTCTTCTCAGTTCTTTCTCCCTTTCCTTGGGTAAACTCATTCCATCCATTCCATTTTTGGCCATTCCTTGAGCAGTGACTGGAGAATCAATGAGGTGTTGGGTCCCATCCCCTCTCCCTTTCTCTTGCTTTTTAATTCTGTGGATGGTTTATCATGAAAGGGCAAAAGTAACATGGCAAAGGTGAACGGCTGACTTATCAGGGCGGGAGGGGGAGGGAGGAAGTGCACAGGCAAGGCCATTATGTAAGAGACTATAAGGGGTGTGCACATACGACTGAATTTTCAACTTGGGTCTTAATATCACATTCATGTGCAGGGCTGATAAAAACCTTTTTCTGAATTCTTTAGAATGATTATGATCAGGTGGTCATACATATACAGTGTAATCATTATTCCAAAACCGAAGCCTGAACAGGCACATACACAATCCCCACAGTTGTCTGAGCCTCAGTGAGGGGCAGGGAGCATGGAGCCAAGTCAGGTAGGCAGGGGTTCCCAGGGATGAGGCAGCATTACCCTGGGAGTCCTGGTGGGCAAACCCCTGGGAGAGCAGGATTTCAGAGGCTCCGAGGACAGAAGTCATGAAAGAATCTCTAGCCACTGTCCCAGATGGGTCATTTAAAAACTCCCCTCCGAATGCAGGACATCCTTTACTTCTCTTGGTCACCTGCTCTCATGTTTCCAAGCATCTCAGTGACCACAATAAGAAAGGATGGCCTTATAATAATTCCTCCTGGTAGTACTTTAATTAAAAAACAAAATCCTTCTATGTTCTGTATCATTTAAAAGCTTCACTGTAGTAAGTGTTTGTGGAAATAAAGCTTTCTTCTGTGTTCCTTTGCAACACAGGGAAAGCTGGCCATATTTCCACAGCAGTGTGGGATGCTGAACAGAGAGGGCCTCTTGCATGCACTATGCAAATTTATGAAAATGACATGCAAATCAGTATAGTTCTAGTGATTCAAAAACAAACAAACAAATGACAGGAAAGGGAGTGATTAGTGTTTCTCCTGGAGGATTCCTGACTACTGATAGGGTTGTCCAGAGGTGTGTATGTGTGTATATGTGTGTATCTCAGTGCATGTGTGTGTGTGCACGCTTGTAGTGTGACTGAGGAAAAGCAATGACATATTAATGCACCAAGGAAATTAGCACTTCAGCTGTTTGCTTTTTCCTGAGTCCCAAGAACTCCTTCCCTTGTCAGGAATAATAATTATTATCGGGGTAACATAAGATTATGGGAACATTAAATTATGCAGAAAAAAGTATTATAACATGGAAAGAACACATGGAACTGGGAGACAGGCCTGGAGAAGAATTCCTCTTAAATGCCAGCAGGAGGTGCCCTGCCCAGGCAGTGCTTTAAAGGACCCAGCTCTGGCACTCTTCTGGGCTGTGTCTCTGCCACCAGAGAGGAATCTGAGGGGACAATGGCACATGCCTCTCAGGAGCTTACATCTCCTTCCCGAGTCACATTCTGGGCACCCAGAGAAATCCCAGGATTCTAGGGTGGAGTCTGGCCCACTGGGCTGTTAAGAAGGCCTGCTTGGCAAGAGAGGGGGACAGACTGTATCTACCACTTGCCAGCTTGTCCTGTGACATTTAGGTGCCCAGTCCTATAGTGCATCATTAGCGTCCTCCAGTACTCAAGGCTGGGCACCACTGCTGTGAGGAGTGGGCCTGACCAAGGGATGGTTGCTAGTGCTGGGTCAGCCCTGTTTCCTCTCTAGACCTGAGGTCCCTCATTGGTCAGTAAGAGTCAGGGTGAGGTTGGACCAGGTGAGTGCTAAGTGTTTTGAAAGATAAACACCCCTAAGAAAGGTAGGACATTTAAAAACATCCTCCTGGCCCTGGCCAGGTAGCTCAGTTGGTTAGAGCATCGTCCCAAGAGGCCAATGCATATAGAAATAAGTGGAGCAACAAATCAATGTTTCTCTCTCTCTCTTCCTTCCTCTTGCTCTAAAAATCAATAAAAACATATCCTGGGGCAAGGATAATAAAAAAGAGGGTGCATATTGCCGGTTCCATGCAGGCTGTGTATTCATGATTTCTGGTTGGAATGGGTTTCAGTGTTTGAAAAATCTGTTATATCATCGCATACATTAATCTTGGATTTGTACACAATTGTAGGGTGTTGCAGTAATCAATTTAATTCAGTTTAATTGTGCAGACTTGGAGTTAAAGCCTTCTGAACGTAATACGCAAGTTTATGCAAATAAAATAATTTCAAGTGCTTTAAATGACCCACCCAAAGACTGTAGCAGCTAACCCCAGAGCTCGCAGTTATCAGCATTTAT